ACAAAAATTCTTTAAATTAAAAAACAGTTTCATTTTTATTTGTAGATTCGTTCAATATCTTAGTATATATGGAAAGTTTGTTCAAATTATTCTACGAAAATGAAATTTTATTTTCATCCTTAGAATTGTTTTTTCGCAATAGGTCGGGTGAGTTGGAATCAATTTAGTAAATTCAAATATAGTTTTCTTTTTCTTTTTAGATGATTGTCGTAGGGTAACGTTTGATGAGCTATGAAATTCGTTCATTAACTATTTTGGTTGAATTATGTTTTACATGCGAATGGGTGCTCATTAGTTTTGATGTGGTTGAATGTGAAGAAAACGGGTGAGTTTAGATGATTTTCGATGAAAAATTGCTTCTTTTGTTCATTTTTTAGGTGGAGAAGGCCGTTATATTTTGCTTCTTGATGGTTTGGTAATGGTGCGACGAAGTGCATCTGGATAATTAAAGTTTTTCTCTAAATTCCGTGTGTTGCTGACCTTTAATGACTGTTCTAGTTATTTCTTGGTGTGAATAGATTCACAACAGAACCTCAATGAATGTCTGTGGCCGCTGTGAATGCTTGTTGCTGCTGGCAGAGAAGTGATGGATTCCTGTCTAGGCTAGTTTGGTAGAGCTTTAACCGCAATCGGAAACCTTTTCTTTGGGTTTCCGAAGAGGTATTTGAGATTTAGCTATAATGGGTACTATGGGTTTTCGAGGTCTCGGAAACCCTTCTTCAGAAACCCTTAAAGGGTTTCCTATAGTAACAAACTCGGAAACCCTTTAAGGGTTTTCGATAATACCTATTTTTTTTTAGAGTGTACGAATCTTGTTGAGGAAGTGCCATTGTCTATCGAACCACCACGAGCACCTATTGAAGAACCACCTGTAACTATTCGCCCATCGTCACACAGCTGTGGATGTTGCTGTCAAATTGGGACTTCACACCTTAAACATGGCATAGTTGCTATAATAATCGTAATTGCTATTATATTTTCCGCAATGATCCTCATACGTATCATACTAAATCAATCAAATTGCACGGTTCTCTCACCATCAAGTACGTTTCTTCTAAAATCAAACCGACGGTGGGTGTAGATGTTCCCTTTACATACTACCGCACGCACACCCAATGTCTTTCTCTGCTGTTTCATACATATTCTTGTAGGGCTCGAAAAGCTCCCTGTTTGAAATCTCGTTAAAAAATTGATGTTCTTACCAGTCTTGAAAAACCTTCGTCAAAAACTGTAGAATGCAGTGTTTGTGATTTTCACACTAACTTCTGGTTACCCTGGGTACATAGGAAAATTGGAAATCGATTTTCAGAAAGCCTAGAGCCGTCAGTCTTCCATTTTCAAGTCTGTATTCACTGCATTGTATTTTAGTTCAACATATTGCAAGTTAAAGCAAGAAAAAGCATGAAAAATTTTACCTTGATCACAGGCGAGTTTTCGTGGTAAAAAAAGATTTGAAATTGAATATCTTAAACTACAGCTTCGGCTTTATGGTAAATATGCATTTTAAAGTACACATTTTGCTCTATCTATGAGTGAAAAAATTAGGCTCCTAGCACTTTCTATTCGAACACGATCGGCTTCGCCATTTGTACGAATACTTATGTATCGTAGGTTATATGCAATAAACAACTCGGGTCTTTTATAAAAGTAATCTTGGCGAAGCTGACCATTTATTGATGTTTGTAGGGAATCGACAAGACTTCAAAAGTTTTAAGCACTGTGTTCATCGTTCTTCCGACCAAAGCATGTTCTCCATGTTATCGAAAAATAAATTTTTATACTTCCAATGAAGTTCCATGAAAATCTATTGAGGCACCATATTCCATGATAAGAATTATTCATATTAGCTTTCTTCGTAATTATTTTAGGTCAATCATGCTCAAGAGAAATTTCTGAAAGGATCGAATTCCTTCGTCTTACGACTCTTCCATTCAATAAATACATATTGTATTCATTCAACTATACAGCTATATCAAACAGAGATATCCTTACATTTGCTTTTGGAAAAGATTCACATGGATATATAGACGATATATCTGTGTACGATATGCTTGCCAACGTTGAGCTTATCAAAGATGGTGGTTTCGAAAGCCGTAGTATAGAAAAGTACTGTGTGTGTCTCGAAGGATTCAACATGCAATGTAATATCAAGTGATCCACATTCAGGCTCGTATGCATGTAAAATAAACAGTTTGGCTTTAGTAGAATTGTCGCAGTTAATAAAAACAGTCGCTGGACATAATTATTATGTGAGTTTCTGGGTTAAAAGTCAAGATGGAGGGGGCATGCATCTCGATATATTGATCAGTACGGCATCGAATGTGAATTAACGTTCTAGATGCTTATTTCTAACAAAATTTAGTTTTGTTTTGCTTTTAATCTACATTATGCAAGTGACTCTGTAGTTTGTATTTTTACGGCAAATCTTGATTTTTCTTACCTGCATCATTCTCGATAATTTATTAATAAAAATATTTCGTTCGTTATTTTCTTTCGAAGGGTATAGATGTGGGTATGAATGTAAATGTATGGGTATGGATGTGTGTGGCGAGGACGTGGACGTTGATCTATGATCATAGTAGAACCGCTACATCGTACATCCACTCCAACACCCGCACCCATACCCATACTTTTCGTTGGATTTATTTAAAGGTAACGACGCCAACTGTCCGGTTATCTTGATTTCTTATGTATGAACTCTATCGTTTTAAGTTTCGTTTTTGGTATAGTTCAGTCTAATTTTTTTCTTCTATTCGTTAGTTTTTCTAAAGAAGATAAGAGATAAGTGAATCTTCAACAAATATCTTTTCTTTCTCTAATCTACCTGTGTTTCTATGTCGGAGTCGTTATCGAATAGAGAGACAATAAAAAACAAAAACGTTCACACTTTCAGCTTCCATTTTTCTGCTTTTTTATCTAGTTTTAATTTCTGCCTTTTTAGCCATTCTCCTCCGTTCTTTTTCTTTATCTCTGATAGAAATTTGAAGGCATATGACTTTCGAAAGTGGACACTCTTGTTCGCTTAGCAGGAGGCACTGATGATAAGAGATGGAAAAAGAAGAAATTTGCTGAGAGTAAGGTGAAGAACAGAAGAGAATGATATTCGATTCCATGATTGGTAAAGAGAGATAGTAAACAAGAATGCATGCTATTCAATATAATCATTGGAGTATCACTCTTAGGATGTGGGTGTGGGGGGGGGGGGGGGGTATCCACTTCCACTATATCCACACCCACACCGATCGCATCAATCGCAACTAATAAAATATGCAATAAAATGCATTATTAGAAGAAGAGTATTAAAAAATGTATTAAAATGCACTATTAGAAAATTATCAAAAAATACATTATGGTGCACTGAGACTCATCATCAAGGTTATCAAAAATGTTCGAAAATGCATTAAATTATATTGAAACACATTGAAACACATTATGAAAAATTAAAAAATGCATAAAAATAACTTTTGATACACATCATTGGACTATATTCTCAGTCTAATTTGCAAATGATCATTGACGTCGATCCACGACGATATGTAGCACATAGAGATGCTCAAAAAAAGTATCGGACCACTTGATCTTATTTTTTTAATATTGGCTTGTATTCAGTAACACCACATGATGAGTTTTCTGATTCCACTAAAGGATACTTCTAAGCATCTTCCCTTATATGTGTCACTATGAACTTCCAAATTAATGAATAGGATTATCTGAAAGAATTCCAGTATACTTCAACAATATCCGTCGTTCCCGAGGGGAGACAATGATATAAGACTAACTTTCTCAAATATTCGTGAATCCATTTCATGTTGAACTTTCTGAATCGTATGTCAATCGAGTGAGTAACGAGTTGGCTTCATGATAGACCAATCTTTGTCTCAATCTCACGTTGTGGAGATCAGTAACAAAGATTTTGAATCGAATTAATTTTTCGAAGTCATGCGAATTTTTTTCACACATCATTTTGTTCACGACTGGAAATTTCATACGTATAGATATAGGGGAAGACGCTTACAAGTATCCATAAGTGGAATAAGAAAACTGGACATGTGCTCTTACTGAATAAGAAAAACAATATTAAAAAAAAATAGGACCAGGTAATCCGATACTTTTTTGAGCATCTATAATTGGCTTTACTTGCATGTGTATTATCATAAAATAAGCTCGCTTGGAGCAAGTATAGTGCAATTATCATGACTAATTGAAGGAAACTGATGGAAAATTGAGTTGTTTGTGATTGTTTGAAGAATTATTCTGAAAGAATAATGAAGGCAAAGAGTTTGAGAGAATCTACGAATCCTCAAACGTTCACTTGAGATCCATTCGAATTCGAGGAAGATTCATTCTTATGTAGCAAATTACGCTCAAATTACATGCAAATACATGCTGTGAAATATAGTGACAATAGAAAGTGATAAGAATAAGAAATATGTGTTTTTTTTTCGACACTGTTCTTTTTTCTATTGTAGCGTAGATGAGACGTGAAGAAGCAAATATTTTTAGAAATCACATGAAACACTCTTCCTCTACTACAGCGTGAGACTGCTGGAACAGAACGAATAAATTGTGTCTTGAGTCATTCGTTTTTTTGCGAGTGTAGACAGCCTATAGCGCAAAAAAAAAAATTATCATCGAGATTCTCTCTCTTCACGACAACAAATACAAAAGGTAAAATAATGCGATAATAGTCAATTGCGATATTTGTCGTCTACAAGCTGCACGTGGCAAAAATGGTATGGATCTGGTTGTTTTTTTCTACTGTGATACTATTGTTGCTGGTGTATTACATAGTTCTTGCACCAATTATCGACAATCTTTTATATGCTGTATCGAATGAACCTCCAGTGGCTCGTAGTTACATTCCACTGTTTGGATTCGCTTTGACATTAACGAAAAATCCATATGAATTTATTTATTGGCTTCATCATCAATACGGTAATCGAGTTACTGTCAATATTATGTCTCGTCGCTTTCTCTTTCTCAATGAGCAAACAACCTTTATGAATCGTATTGTGAAAGATCCTACATTTACACTCGATTTTTTGGACAAAATAAGTCATAATGGTGGTGGTCTTCGCTGGGAATGTATTCAAAATGAAGAAGCAAAACGTATTATTGTACAAGAATATCATGAATATCTCTATGGTCAAGAGTTAGTCGTGTTAAATCATAAAACATGTGAATATTTGATCGAACGTCTTACTGTAGATCGATTATTATCATCGTCATCCGAAACAGTTAATCTTTTTGATTATTTCGGTGAGATTATCTTTGATACGGCAGTTACAGTTCTCTACGGTGAAACATTTGCTCGATCTCAACCGGACATCTATTCTTCATGTCGAACTTTTGAAGCGGTCATTGGCACAATGATGCTCGATATACCGTTCAAATCATTTTTTCTTCGTTCAACTATTCGTCAACGTAATCAATTTATTGAACGATTTCTGGATTTGAAACCCAATGATGATATGAGTAAATTTATACTCGCTCGAATCGAATCAATGGCAAATCTCGATGACGGACGAGTCTTCAACGAATGGGATAGAGCAGGACAACATGCGCTACTTCTCTGGGCTGCTATCATTAATACAGGATCATTGGCTTGTTGGGCTCTTGTCGATCTACTTTTGCATCATGATGCTCTCGAAGCAGTGAATCATGAATTAAATACTACAGTCAAAAATCTCACATCACTATACAATAAAGAAACTCTTGATGAGTTACGTATATTGGATAGTTGTATTCATGAGACAATGCGACGTGTATCACCATCGGTGACACAACGACAGGCTGGTCAAAATGTTATTGTGACATGTACGGATGGCACACAGATCGGTATAAGAAAAAATGATATTGTTGTCTATCCCGCTATTCTGAAACATTTTGATTCGGAGGTCAGTTTAAAGATTTCTTCTAAGTGGTAATCTAATTATTTCATGTTATAGATCTATGATCATCCTTACGAGTATCATTATGATCGTTTTATCAAACAACAATCGAAAGTATTGCCATTAATTTTGTTCGGCATGGGATCACGAATGTGTCCTGGTCGATATTGGGCTATCAACGAAATTAAATTATTCCTTGCTATTGTCCTGATCAAACTAGATATTCAATTACTAATGGATGATGACTATAAACAAAAGATGCGCACACGGCTCGATTTTCAATTGAGCAATTTTTTTGCCAATTTAGGTCCTCATGAAAAAGATAAACATCAATTTCGTATACGATATTCGATGAAAAAATAAAATCCTTTTTTTTGAACGATTGAAGAAAAGAGTAAGTTCAGAAAATGTTTGAAATTGACACATCAGAAATGAAGAGCCACTAGTCAAAGAATACCAGTCCGTCAATAGCGCACCTAGCATGAAATCATATGCCTGACAGATAGCACCAATAGGATTCGGCTATTGCGATTTTTCATTATCGGTCGGTTTGCGACGTAAATCAATGAACAAAAACGAAAGAGATAAAATTATTTCACAGAAAAATCACCTAACGTGATCGATGAAAGTTTGATTCGGTTTGTTCTCAGTCCATTTGAACGAATTTAACTTTTTTTTCTCCTCAACATTGTAATTTCGTAGTACTAAAAGTAAAACTTCTAATTACATTTCAATGCAAAGATTAATTTCAACTTATCGTTTAAATATGGCAAAGAACTCTCCACATGATGAATACATCCAACGAGAAAACAATATTTTCCTCTTTCCTTCACCAATATTCCATCAAAACACAATCGAATCGTTCAAAGAACATATCACTCGCTGCAATTTGATGCAAACGCAAATACTCGAGATTAATTCGTAGCCTTCGTCTGTTTGAGAGGGTGTGGGTGTACGTGTACGTGTGCGTGTAGATAAAGAGAAGACACGCATACTTCTATCCCCATCTTCATACCCACATCTACCCTCACTCACACCCTACTCAGTGACTTCATTCAATCAACGCAATGGCTAAAATAATATCTTCAGTCAGTAGCTATGACTTCATGCATTTCTAAACATTTTCAGTTGCTTCCATGTCAGTCGACGCATGAGGCAGGTAAGCAAATGATCTCTCAAGATCTTATACTTATTGTTGTTAGCTGGCTCATCTTGGGCTTCACTATGTTATCGTTTATCATTGTTGACTGTCTCTTGATTCTACTTGTCACCCATTTTTTCAGCAACAAAGTTTCCATGGCACCAAAAATCAATTGTTCAACATGATACATTATCAATGGTAACGAAAGTAAACCAATTACTTCTTGATCTCTACCAGTATAGAGAATGTTTATTAATGGTACTTCCTTGGGTACAGTTTTTGTGGCACCACAAAACATGATTGCTACCGTATCTTCTCGTGAGAACTGCCAATGTCGAATAGGTAATCGTGCAGTGATCATGATTAATAGTGAAAAAACAATATATATTCCGGCATTAATAATAATCAAGGCGGTAAGATCCTTTCCGTTTATTGTTTGAAATGATTCGGTGGCAACAGTTGTACAAAATGCTGACAACACTGGTGCTAACAGAGCTAGACTATTTAGTTCGGAAAAGTGAAATTTTTCTCGTACATATGCAACCTGTTTTGTCCATAAGAAATGAATGACTTGTCCGACAAATAAAGGTAGAAGTACAGTCAAACCCAAGTTTTTCATAACATTTCCATAGTCTAGTCGACTACTCTTACCACCATTAGAACTGCTTGGCAAAGAATTAACAGTAGGATTACTCATAAAATAGAAGACAAGAGCCGATGATATAAATATACCCAAAACATTGCCAAGTGCTGCATTTAGCAGTGCTGAATATTCATTACCCATACCATTTTTAGTCATAACAACATTGCTGGAAATAGTTGTGGATGTACAAGCCATTATAACGATCCCAGCAACTAATGTTTTGTTGATCGGCAATCTTGTTAGTAACAATCCTAAACCATAAATTGTAAATGCAATGATCAGTAGGCTATAGATCTGGACGACGGCATGAAGGCACATATGAAGAAATTCTTTAGCAAGTAGTGTTGTTCGAAGCGATAAACCACTGAAAAAGAAAATTAGTATGACATATCTCCATTTAACGGACCATTTAGAGTGAATATAGCCACCGGTTTTGCCGACATTTGGAAATGCATATGCCAGCCCGATAACGCAACCCAACCCAATAAGAAATCAATATTTGCGAATAATAGGCAATAAATACGATAGACATAATGGAATAGCACAATGCTTTGGTTTCTCTTCTTGTTTTTCTTCATATATATATGAACAAGCAATGCCATTGTAGGTAGACAGAATAAACAAACGAATTTTTCATTATAAATGGCGCAGATCTGCGGCAGACTGGTTAACATGCTATTGAGCGGTATATCATCCAATAAAAGCATTATTATACAAGGGTTTGTTTTATTCGTAATGTATTCTTCAAATTCAACTAAATTTGTGAATTTATTTGTGAATTTGACTTTCGGCACAGTTTCAGATTCTCTTCCAAGCCAAATGAGTGAAAACAAATCCGAGTCAATTTTATCAGCTGACATACCTAATCTGCCTTGATAGTGTACCTAATCAAACCGAAAATCTGAAAACACATGTACAATTGAAAATAGAAAAAAAAGTTTCGTCATCACTTCTTTTAGGATACAATTTGAAAACTTCGAAGGGACTTTATGAAAGAATGTCACGGAAACAGAAACAAATTCTAAACTATATTAACGTTTTAAGACATTCCTCTATGATATCACATTCGCACAAGACTGTCACGACTGAGTGATTAAGTTCTTAGGCACGTGTCCTCAAGACGCTGTATTCGAGCTTCGGGGATGCATAAGATGGAAGAAGAAGAAGAAGAAGGATACTCCTGTCTTTCGGCTACCTTGCGGTATGGGGTGCTGCCTAGCGGCAGATCTGATAGCCCGATATTTTTCCTAGATCTACGACTAGCTGTAGATCTGGGCAGAAGGCTGGTCTGACACAGAGTTCTTTCGCTCAATTGCTGGAGCTTCCCATAGGCACTAACTAATCACATACCATGAATGTTCATCGCGGCTGAGAATCTGCCGCTGCCACATACTAGCCACAAGGGCTGATGTATGTCACAACATAGTCAGTAATCCTTCAGCCATGGCCGCTGCATAAGATGAACCGATCCAAGCTTACAAGAAACCCTAGCGCCACTCGTAAAAAGGCATTTTTGTGAGGTAAAAATGACAATTTTAACAAAACCCAGTTAATCGCGTTGAACACACATCCAAGCATATCGAAAAGTGGGTAGGAATTGTAA